ACGTTCGTACCATTTTCTGATAAAGTTGGAAGCAATAGAAATAAACAGCCGTGCTGCCGTGCTACAGAAGAACGCCGTATGAACATTCGAGAGTTGCCAAATTTTCCCGGATAAAACACGTATTTTCGACGAAATTAACGCATATTTTTCCTTGAAATTTTCAGATATTTTTGATTAAATTGCGAACAAAATAGTCTAAAAAATTCGAAGAAAAATATTTACAATTTCCCCAAGAAATTCGTAATTTATCAAAGGAAATTTGGCAACACCTGAAGGTTCATACGGCGTTCTTTCTTAACACGGCAGCGTGCTACGATGACTCTCATATCCGTTATTTCATCACAGCCATAAAAAGTCCAAGATTTTGAGATGATGCAACATTCGAGTGCTACTCCGCGGAATTTCACAATTCGATCAAGCTTGAAGATTTTCTCGCGAAATAATCGCTTCAACAGTGCTCATTTGCATTGTTATTAGCCTTCCTAATTGTGCGCCGTTATAAGCTAACCGACGCATTTAAATTTGGGTGATGGTTTCCGGTTTCCTTTCATACGTGGAATCCAACATGCCGAAATACAGATAAGCTTCTTTCGTGTTTGGCCCGGTACATACTGTTGAAATGCACTGTTTCTCCGAGCTAGTTTTAACTGAGTCAACCTTGATTCGTTGAATTAGTTTTGCGGATGTTCTACCAGCGTTCAAGCGTCTCGACCGGGCCTTATGTGCAAATGATAATTACACTTGTGATAGTCAGGAAATATGCGTTTTCAATTTTTGACGCAATTTAAATTTATTCGGAAAAATAATGGGCACTATTTTTTTAAGTGTCTACTGATATGTCGAATTACCAAAAAGAATATCGATAGCTGAAGTCAAAGAATTTTGGATTTCGACGTTGTGAGTCTACGCTCATGTTTTATTTTTTTTTAGAAGAGAATGGAACAGCAGTCTCTATTGAAATTTCCTGTAAATTTTCTTTACCCATTCCAAAAATAAATCACGCAATACAGCAGGGAAATGTTTTGATTAGTTTTCCTCAAAGAAAATACAATACAACAGAGGATTCCTAAACGCTGCAACAAAGACACACATTTCCCACATTTAGCTATCAATATTCTGAGAAAAAATTCAATCAATGGTGTTCATTTGTTTTTCTTTAAAAAGAAATGAAATACTATAATGGTGTAAAATTTACATTCGCATTTCGTTTTTAACTCGGATTGATACTGTTTAGCATTTTTTATCTCAACTCTCACCAGTTTTTAATAGATTCTCAACGAAATTTAGATCGGAAATTATGCGGTCATTGCGTGTGAAATAGAATAGAATGGTATAGGTAAATTTTGCAGCCTCGAAATAAAGTTAAGTCCATTTTATCGGAAATGGCGAATCGGATTACAGCCTTTTCCAGTGGCGTGGCGTGAATTGCGATGTATCGATTGTTGTGCCATTTAAACATATGGTAAAAAATCGATAATTAAGGTGTTCGCTGCGAACACCCTGTTTATCGATCCTTTTCCATGGGTTTAAATGGCGTAACATTCGATACATCGCAATTCACGCCACGCCACTGGCCTTTTCATAGTATCATTAGATTACTTTTCATTCAATTTTTCATGTTTTTCCTCTTCCCTCCCGCGTATTTTTGCGTGGAAGTACTAAACCACACACACTAAGGACCATTAAGAAAACAACTGAGAGCATCTAACTTCAGAGTTCGACGATACGATCGCCAATCTACGTCAAATTATACGGGAAAAATGAAACACGTTCAAAACTTGGCAAGCAGTATAACCAATGGCAAGCTAGGAGCAGGGTCAAAGCGATAAGAAAAGCATTCTGGAAGGATTATAGTTTGTCAACTCCGCTCCATTTTCATATCACCAATAACCACAATCTTGAACGGTACCTATTCCCCGTGCTTGATGAGGAGGAACATTCATCGAATAGTATCGTAAAATTTTAGAGTTTCCAAACATCCGATCTCCGTCGTTTTCCTGTTTACACATTCTTCAGCCCGACCACAATGAGCTCCCGGAATTTATTCCGGCCCTTTGAATTTCTTTGATCTTCGGAGTTCCGTGTTTCTTATCTCCCGCGTTTTATAATGTTTACACGGGAACAGGAGCATAAACTTAGAGGAGTCCGTTGAAAAAGACGGTTGATCTTACTTGAAAGTCTAAAAGGAACCTAGATCTGAGGTCACCTTCACTGGAAAGAAAACACATTGGATCTAGAGTCCAGACTCTTGAAAACATTTACAAGAAAAATTACTCTTAATTCAATCAGATTTTTGCCTAAATCAAAAGGAAATCCGCTCAAATTAAGAGGCTTGGTTCTTGATTTAAGCTAAAATCCGATTGAATCAAGATTTCTTGTCGATGTTTGTAAGAGTCCGGATTCTAGATCCAATGTGTTTCTTCCAGTGTTCCCTCAAATATAGGCAGTATATAATTAAATAGTAGGTCACTAAAAAATATAGTTTACACATGAGAACGCGGATCTTTGACAAATCATTCCGGGATACAGTCATTCTCCAAGTAGAGAGTACGTTTTCCGTCTTTTTTATTTTTTACTAGCAGTCAACCCGCGCTTCGCGCGGCGATATTGCAGGAAACAAATCCGAATATCTCATAATATATGCGTATAACTTTTAATTCACTGATTTTATTTGGATCGCTGGAAAATTAATGCATACTTCTATAATTTAGGACTGAGTCAGGGAAATATAAGGTTCGTTAAAAAGTAACCATCCCTAGTACCGTGTGACACTATTGTTAACGAAAAGTTTTTGTAACTTGTCAAAGAGGTTTTTGAATGATCTTCGAATAACTTTTGATGAGCTAGATGTAATGGTTGTACGCAGCTCTTGCACTTCTGTTCGATATTGTCAAGAATCATCTGAATTTTAAAAAAGTGTCCGCTTGTTGGATACCCAATATGCTCATTCATGCATACAAGTAGAAGCGCATGAAAGCTTTAGCAGACATTTTGGAGATGAACCAAGAATTAGATGAAGAATTCATGACTTAAATCACGGCACCTTAATTACGGGATGACCTTAATTACGGCAACTATGTATTGTCCATGAGATGCAGATGGACCCATTTCCTTAGCTCATCAAAAGTTATTCGAAGATCAATTTTATCAGCCACCCGTACGACCCACGTTTCTAGTGACCCGTACACTGAAAAAAAGTTCTGTTGTCACAAACCAGAATTTCTGGTTGTATTTCGCAACCAGATTTTCCGGTTGATTTAACCAGAATTACATTTGACTCAACTAGAATTTGGTGGAGTCAACCAGACGTCTGGTTGAGTCAACTGTAATTCTGGTTGAATCATCCGGAAAATCTGGTTGCGAAATACAACCAGAAATTCTGGTTTGTTACAACAGAACTTTTTTTCAGTGTACGTGCTTCGCACGTATGAAACATACAATCAGAGAAAACAGAATTCATCTCACAATAATCAATAATTAGTAGAACATGAATCGTTTCGATGTATAATACCACATTATAATGCGGCGTTACTATTGTAATTAATTATAATGTATTAGGGGCATTATAAGTCTTTATTACCACGTCGGAATGAAATGTTGTAGAATGAATTGAAAAGCATGTTGGCAAAATTTATTGAGAAAACCACTATTAAAACGACAACTACAGTTAATTTGAGTCCCACTGGAATTAATAGTTAAAAAATCCATGATTACACAACAAACCCACTATGAAAGCAACAACTAAAGTTCAGAAATAGTTAGGAAATCCATGATTACACTAGAAAACCACTATTAAAACGACAACTACAGTTAAATTGAGTTCCACTGGAATTAATAGTTAAAAAATCCATGATTACACAAGAAACCCACTATGAAAGCAACAACTAAAGTTCAGATAATGGAAAATAACTGACCCAAAACATTCAAAAAGATGTTATTTTCATCAGCTGCTCGCTCAGTTTAAAAAAAAAAAAAAAACAAAGTAAAAACGTTCGTGGGGAGGGGGGAAGGCGAATAAATATACGAGCAGTAAGCGTAGAAGAATAACTATGGAAACATAAGAAAGCTCAAAAACTTTCATCAGCTGATAATCGGATGAAACATAGAAAGGCCCGCAGTGTTGCCGTTCATAGCATAGAACAGCGGAAATCAAGGGCCAATTACGCGCGCAGCTAAAGGTATCCGACGGCCACCCGGCAACGGCCGCGTCAGGAAATATACCCGCACTGCTACGTCTCTCTTTCCAACACACACGGGCTTACGGGAATATCCGCGACTTCCGACCGCGGTTACTCGCGAACGGACGGGCGGATCGCGAAAAGAAAGCTTATTGCACCCCTCGGGGACAGTACCCGTCGAACGGCTAAGTTCGCACCGATTCCGACCGGTGGGAGCAGGGAGGCGAGCGTGATGGATCAGTGTATGATCAATGTATTTCCCTTTTATTAGTTAGATTAAATCTGCAAATAATTTTGTCGTAGCGACGAGTGGAGGGTTTATTCAATGTGAAAACTGAAAAAACGGCATAAATGTAATATAATTTGACCTAAATGTGTTTATTATCAATCTGATTTTTTGAAAAAAGCTGCCACAGGAAGAAAAACTAGCATGACCCCGTGAGCTTTACTTGCTGTACAAATTAAACTATAATACTGAGTTGAATTAAACTACAAAATAAAACCATAATCTATAGCCCGTAATGGCGTAGTTGGTGTGATCGGCATCACTTGTCCTCTTTTCCTAGAAAGCGCGTTAACACACAAACATTAAACTAAACTATTTTCATTAAAAGCTCCTTTATGAAATACTACTGACGAGAACTTTTGATGCTGACAAGTAATACTCTTTGCGTAAAAGCGTAAAAATGACCCATGTTTCAAAAGTTTTAGCAGACTCATTTATCTTGTTACCTTCGAAATATTATTTCAAAATGCTTATGCACGTCTTTAATACGATCCTATAACCACTCGTAATATATCTTGAAAATTGTTGTGTTTCAGGATCACTGAGTAACATTGAAGACGGAGGATATCAATGTAACAAAACTCAAGTGAGGAAAGTTATCTCCGGTGTCGTTGGAGCTGCCTCTAGCGTGACCTCTATCCAAGTTGCAAATTTACTCCGACTCTTCAAAATTCCTCAGGTAAAATTATAAGATTATAAATATCTGCACGCACAGGAATAGATGTATTTAATGCATCAAATGTGTGCTGCAATCTTATCGATATCAAATGGTTCATTATGTTACAATAAAGGCAAAAGTTCATTGAGCGATTTGTAATTAAGTTTTAATTATTTTTGTAATTATTTGTTGATTCTTACAGGCGTTGCATGGTGACAAAAAGGGAAATTGTGAGGAATTCCCGCTTTTTCAGCGTTTTAAATTTTAATCCCAAAATTTTGGTTTGATACCATATTCTATTGTTTTGAACGTTGAACCAGAATAAAATACGGTCCATTAGGTATTTTACATGAAAATATGGAGATAGCATCGCTATTCAATATTCTGCATGAGGTATTCCGTTTGTTATGATCATAGAGCGACAATTTCAAAAATGACGAATCAAAATTCAGTTTCTCCGTGTATTTTACCAAGTGGTTGTGGGATGAATAAAAAGTAATGCCTTATATTAATATATTATCAATAAATATTATTTTCGATGAATTATTCACTTATCTCATTGAATGGTAATTTGCGGTCCAGAGAACAATAAACACAGATCTTGGGATGGAGCTGGTCAGTGCCAATTCTTGAATGTTGGCAACCCTGTTTTTCCTCCATTTAAATGTATGTAAAACAATCGATTCTCGGTGAGGCAGCTTACCTCACCTTAAATCCATAATTTTAATAGATTTAAATGGAGCTAAAACAGCGTTGCCAACTTACGAAATCGCCACTGGAGCTGGTGTTCTGCCTCGATTTAACTCAGAGAAGAGAATCAGCCCCATCAAAAAAAAATTGAATCAAATCAAAAATGTAATCGAAATCATTGGGATAATGTGTAGAATGGAAGTATTTTTGTTCTTCGAGTTTAAATTCCTAATTTTTATGATTGATTTTTTAAAAATTCCGTGAGTTGCAATATAAAATATACTGATACATCGGATTGTCTGTCACTGTCGCGCCTTCAAATACTCCGGGTATGCAAGAACACAACTTCAGAGTTCGAATAGTTGCATTAGTTAGGTTTGAATCTATATTCGATCCACGTAGCGGCGGTAACGTTAGGTTCGTATTTACGGTTGTTCCTGAAACACATCTTTTCTCTAGGGTTTTACAGAGTGTGACTGTGATAGTGTTTAGAGAGACCTTTACTTATAACATGAGGGAAAATGTACAAATCTCACGGTAAAATTCAACAGTGCAGTCATGAATAAACATCCTTGCAAGAGACTGCAGTGCTATGCTATAACCATACCAGCTACCAAGGATAAAATATTCCTGATGGCTTTTCAAATTTTAAAATAGGTTTAGGATCGTTAAATTAGGTTATTAAATAGATCTTAAAATGTATTCAACCTTTGAAAACCTTTTAAATTAGACGATCTTCAAATTAGTCAAGATCATTGTTTTTTGGGGGAGAGGGGGTGCTGTTACTGTTTTTTGTATAGGCGAATCATTTGAAGCATTTGAAGAGATCCGATTTTGAAGCTGCACCGTTAATTTTTACCTGAGAGTTTCTACTTTTTTTTCATGGATCCATATGAAGGCCTCTTGAAACATCCCTAAGGCACAATGAAGTCCATATGAGGTGCTTTAAGGAAAGGGAAAGATTTACGAACGCCCACAATTATGATCCTAACTTATTGCTAAAATATAAGGGTTAAATCTGAGACGAGTAGTCCAATAACAACGTGTAAACGTCGCACCCATCTGAAAATAGCCACACCTCCAGATTTAAAAGGCAAGAACGTCGAGAGAATATACAGAGAGCCAAAACTGCCGTGCTAAGGAAGAACACCGCATAAAGACTCGAGAGTTGCCAAATTTCCTTCAGTAAAATATTTATTTTTGGGAAAATTTATGAATGTTTGTCCTTAAAATTTTCAGGAACTTTAGGTGAAATTGCGAACAAAATCATATGAAAAATTGAAAGAATAAAAATTTACATTTCTACCAGGAAAATCGTGTTTTATCAAAGGATATTTGGCAACTCCTGAAGGTTCATACGGCGTTTTTCCTTAGCACGGCAGAAAAATGACGACGCATTGTGTGTTTAAATCGTATAATTTCTCGCGTGCTCTTAAAACCCCCCTCCTCGGTTTCAAGCCTGTTGCCATCGACAGAAACTTGCATAATTTGTTGCATTCGAGCAACTGGGTTCAATTCGGTGGTAAGGTGCACAGGGGGATGATAACTTCGCATAAACCTATTTTGAGCCAAGTGAATTTCAAAAGTTTGCAAAAAAGTTATCGGAATGAAAATATTCCGTTATCGAGTTAGCATTACAAGTTTTGAAATTCCATTATTCAAGGATAGTCCTGTCTGCCTGATGCACGCTCGCATCACCTGCCACACTGCGTGCTAAGAAAGAGCGCCGTATGAACATTCGAGAGTTGCCAAATTTCTTTTGCTAACAAGTTAATTGTTTAAGAAAGTTATAAAAAATTTTTCCTTTAACTACTCAGGAACTTTAGGTGAAATTGTGAACAAAATTATCTGAAATATTGGAAGGAAAATATTTATTAGTTTAACGGGAAATTCGTGTTTTATCAAAGGAAATTTGGTAATGCTTGAAGGTTCATACGACGTTTTTCTTTAGCACGACAGCGCACCTCTCTGACGAAGAACGAGAGTTTCCAATTAGGATAAAGCAACAGGTGGAGAGTGAGGCTCCTTGGATTTGTTCAAGTTCACGTGAACGTAATTAGAACGTTCGTCCCTCGATAGGAGGCGGTCTCTCTTCCAAAGAAGTCAGTTTGGAGTAAACTTGTTTATGACTCAAATACATTTAACGCTACCCTGATTTTTAGCAAGGGACAAGAACTGGCAAAATTTTACTTTTATAGAATGAACTAGGGGCTTATGGGGCTGCTTCGCAGCCCCTTATTTTTCCTGTACACTTTTCACTTTGAACTTTAAAGCAATAAGGTCCATCACCCGGAATATCAATTCGATTTGCAGAGAAAGAGGCAAAAGCAACAGCACTATTATAATTTCTGATATGCTTTATGAAATTTGGAGAATATAAAAATAATGATTTCAAATCGGTATTTGTCCGAATACTCGGTAAAGAAATTAAGCCATTTTGGCAGCAGTTATTAAAATGACCATTGGACATTTCACCCTGAAAATGGCGAGCATCACAATGATGACAAATTATATTCATTGCACCGACTGAAAATTTGGTAACAAAATTTTCATCAAAGTTCTGATCATCAATTTTATACTTCCGAAATGAAGAAATGAAACTTTGATTTTCTATACTAATAACAGAGTTAAGTTCTTGCTTCACTAAACGAACATGCGAAGAATTCTGAAAAACGCGACCACGTTTTGGAGGACGACCGCCTCGGTCATTGAAAATTTCACTCATAACAACTGTTAAATTTAAAATTAAAATTAGTAAAAATTATTATTATTTTAACAAAATCATAACTGAAAAGTTCAATTTTTAAATTAAAAAAATAAATCAGAAGAAAAAGGATGAAATGAAAATGGAAATTAATAATAAACATATTTATACACATTGAAAAGAAACAGCGTGAAAAGTTCTGATCGGAAATGAGAAAAAAAACTTGGAGGTTATTGACTTAATGAGGAAAAATTGGCAATAGGAAAAAGATGGAACCAATCATGAAAAACCGTAAAAAAAAAAACGCGGGAAAAGAAAAATGTATGTTGATGGCAGTTGAGTGTTGGAAGTAACCTCACTTAATGATGATTGTTGAACGAAAACAGCTGATAAAAAGACAGCAAACAGTAAAGTAAGATGCGTAGCAACAAAACTTTTCCGAAAAACAAAAAACAAAAAACCCCCACTTCCCCTCATCCAATTTATGAGTTTTTAGGGATTTAAAAATCGGGGACGAACCCCAGAAAATAATTTATAGTTTTCCCGAAGCATTGAGAACAACACCTTTCAAATGAACCAACGCCCCTCGCAATTAGTACAGTGGTTGATTCACAATTTCATTCTATTTTTCAAATTAAATATTAAGATGAGGATAATCGAACACAATTTTCTCGCACATATACCTCTCTTTATTTCAATGTTTAACGCAGGATTAGTTAGTTATTACGTAATAATTGGTTAACTTTGGAGGGCTACTAAGAAGCCTGCTTGCAAGAAAGCTTGTAAGCCTGGTGTCATTTACTGTCAGTTGACATAAAAAAGGTTTATACTATGTCTACTTAATTATATCGATGGCGAAAGCACGAATTCACGCATCTCTTTTTGCGAAGTTGCAGACTTCCCGTCATACTTTATTTTTTCTTTGGAGAGCAAGTTAACATAATGTCTTGAAAACCTCTTTGATATTTTTTCTATTTTAGCTGAATATTCTGTATGAATTGCAACCAATTTAGTTGACTTGCGTTTCTTCGAAAAAATAAACTAGTAGTGGACATTGTGAAACCCTACAATGGAGGTACGTGGCTTCGCAATTTAGCCATCGATTTTTCTCATTTTTTTAAGCGATGCAGGCTGGTTTTGATTTTGAGCCGACTTTGATCGGCTGTGGCACATTCCAACTTTTCCGGGTCAGCGTTTGTGATCGAGCTGTAGTTTAAAAAGTTCATAAGAAAAATCGTGATGAATAGCAATAACCCCTGAAGTTTTAATGGCATCTAGATGATTTAATGACCATCAATGCTTCCTTATATGAAGAAAGTAACCGCACGGAGGGGAAGGGGGGGGTCACCGTTTTTGTAAGCACACGACTATGAAAGGAATCGATGAATTGCCGTAGACAAGATAAAGTGCTCTTAAGAAGGGAATGGGAGGGGGTAATAAATCGTTTAAAGTGCATTATTTGATTTATTACGACCCCCTAGATTTACTCAGCGGGGATGGATACGTCGTCAACGTTCTAAAGATGCGTTAACTGTTAAGTAATGTACTTTTCCTGTTCCCTCATCCCTCCTTCACCCTTACGCACCGCATTGTAAACCCACAACCCACTTTATTAAACACGTAACGT